TTAATAACCAAACAATGTAAATGAGGCATTTTGAATGAAGACCGCAATTTTCTGGCATTAACATCAGCGTGGGAAATGCATTCAAAGCCAATAATATATAACTGAATTGGATATAACTTCATTAAATGAAGTGAATAATGAAAGAAGCATATTACAAGCATCTGCACAACATTATTCAGCAGCAAGGAGACAACAGGGTTTGCTCGAATGAGCTTTTGTACACAATATTAGCATCAATAAATGCAAGCATATAGTGTGCAATAAATAATTTTTAACAACTCATTTCAATGTGGTGCAGCAAGAAATGACAAGAATTCTTGACATGCCTGCTTTGTCAATCTCTCTCGCAAAATTGTATCTAATTTATGAACATCAAATTTCTCGTTAAAACAAGACGGCAAGAGGTAGCTGGCAAGGTCCATTTATGTTTGCACTTTTTTTCTAATCTCGAGGACTTCTGAGCCACCCTTTGTTGTGTTGATATGCAACAGCTTTAGTCTACTGCAGTGAACAATCGATCAAAAAATCGTCCATTTGCTCCCCCAGAACAGCCAGATGGCCTTTTTTTTTCTCTTAAATAATAATAATAATAATAATAATAATAATAATAATAATAATAATAATAATAATAATAATAATAATTACTATTATCATCATGATGGATGCTAATATAACACTTTGACTTGGGTGAGCTCGTACATACTCGAATGAATACAGCGTGACTTGGATGAAAACAGGAACTGACACGTACGACACAGCCGAGTGCTGACTTACAACTCACAAGACTTTGGGATTTCAGGACTTCTGTTGTAAATCAGCACGCATATGTGTTTTATGTGTCTTCTGTATTCATCCAAGTCCCACTGCATTTACCTAGTTACACCACTTCTTAGCACCCAACACAGAGGTTCTGTGATGTCCCAGCTGGAGAGCGTAAGGGGTGCATCAAGCAGAGTGGTAAGACGTCAGTTCATCATGCCACTGAAAGACAAGTTGCTCTCATTTGCCGCAAACTTAGGACAGTAATCAGTGGCAAGAGCCATGATAATTGGTGATCACGGGATGCTTAAAGGCTGACCTTTGCAAGCTGGAACACCAGGTGACACCCTCGCAATGTAGTTTGTCACCATGCCTCGGGCCTTCGGATGTCGTAAAATGTGGTCCGCTTCAAGTACCTGACTGCTTAGCCAGCACCTCCTATATTTTTTTTTTTTGTGCCTGCTGCGCCCTCTCCTCTCTCGATTCTGCCCCTCAACGCCGCTTAGCGACTCTGCGCCATTACCTTCTAGCAGACGACGCTCGCTGCCGCTCGCGCGCCGGTTTTATGCGCTTTTTTTGTCGTCTGCTTTGAGTAATCGCGAACTTTGCTCGGAGTTGTTGCCATCACATTAAAAGAAGTAGTATTCACGCGTAATAAATAATAGAGGTGAAATAACTGTCAATATGCCTCTTAACGGAGTGATAATTCACGTCCCAGTCATCTTGCAGACGACAAGTTTAACCCGTCATTTGGTCGCAGTGGCAGTTGTAGGTCCGGCTGTTTGCTTCAACGGTGATGTCATCCTGCCTTTTCATCGGTCACCACACGCTGCTGTTGCATTTCGTTCTGCACTTCTAGCTAGCGAAAGAAAGAAGCAGGTGTGTCCTTTCACGAAATTCCAGTGAACACTGAGCTACATGAACGATGGCTATGAGTTATCGCGTGGAAAAACTGGGTGCCGAATTCCACTTCGAATTACTTGGCCGTGTGCAGCCTACATTTTGTGGAAATTGACTTTAGGGAAAATACCATAAGACGCATGCTAAAGCCCAATGCGGTGCCGAGTGTCTTTCCACATTATCCATCTTACATGACGAAGGAGCCACCAATGGTGAGAAGCTGCAGCAGCACTCCGAAAAGAAAGCGCCATTCTTCAACGGACACCTTGGCAAGTCTGCCAAGTTAGGAAATCGATTTGCGCTCTGCACCGGCGCCACAAGTTTGCGTAAACGGGCTTGACGAAGCCGCTGAGCCCAGTAGCCAGCAACAACCAGAAAGTGTTGCTCCAAGCGACATACAAGACTTGCCTTTTGTAGCAGCAGCTAATCACTACTGTCATTCCGCAAGCTTTCTTGAGCCAACTGATGCGAAGCCAGCGGAAGAGGGTGCAGGTGCGCGTGCCTTGAGGACCTTTGGTGTTCAAGCTGACAGCAGAAGCTTCACAACAGCCTTCTTGGAGCGGAAAAAAATGGCGCGACTAAGAAAGAGCGTGGAAGCAACTAAATGAAAGGCTGCAGGCAACAGTAGATGCCTACAAGAAAGAGCTGCATAGGTTAAAGAAAGAGTGCAACGTAAGCAAATGTTTTCAAGTAGCCAGAGACTGCGATCAGGGTTGCACTAAAGCCAGAGCAATAATGGACCAAGTCCTAAACTACAAGGTGAAAAAACCAAAGTGGTGTGAAACCACTATACGACAGTTCCTGATTCTGAGAAGCCTCTCATCAAAGTCATACGAGTATGTCAGGACCGAGCTCCTCGCACTCCCGTGCAGAACTACGCTACAAAGATACATGGGAACAACTGCCGGAAAAGTAGGCTTCAGTGAGCTAGTGAAGCAGAGGCTCAACACTGAAATCAAGTGCCTCGGGATGGAGCAAGCCAAAATTTGCAGCCTCATCATAGACGAAATGAGAATAAAGCAATGGCTTAAATACCACAAACAACCAGACGCCTTCTAGGGTGACACAGACATGGGCGCTCTCAATCAAGTGTACTCAGACTCTGTAAGAAGCGAACTTGCGAACTTTCTTTTGTGCTTTTTGATCTGTGGCCTTCACGCTAGGTTTCGGATCCCAGTGGGATACTTCTTTACCAGATCATGCACTGGCAAACTACTAGCGGAAACGACCAAGCACGTCAGCAAGAAAACTAAAGAAATGGGATTCGAAATAGTTGGAGTTGTGAAGGACAACCACAAAATAAACGTTGCTGCCATGGAAATATTATCAGGTGGGCAACCGAAAACCCGAGTGCCTCGTCCCACCGATCCAAGCCGCAGTTTGTTTCTGGCGTTCGATCAGTCACACCCTCAAAAACATTTGATAGAATTGGGAAGAAATGGGGAAATTTGTTCAACCTACATAAAGGACCTTTACAAGATGCAGCAAGCACGATTATCAAGCCGGTCCGTTTTCTCGGAAAGAAATATGTCTATCCGTCTAATATAGAAAAAATGGGAGTCAAGCCTGCCGTCCAGTAGCTTTCACCAGCCGTGACAGCGGCTTTGTCTTTCATGAAAGAACATGCCGGGCACACGTGCGATGCAAAATTCGCCAGCATCAGCCCAACTGTTGAGTTCATGAATAATGTGAGCAGATGGTTTACTCTCATGGATGTCAGCAACTGCCAGCAGTATATTCATCAGAACCATCCGGTCACCAGGCAGTTTGATTATCCAGACTCCAGACTTCATTGGCTAGAACTTGTTTTTTTAGAATACATTGAAGAGCTCAAGATGGCAAGCGCACCAATGAACTTTCTAACGAAAGAAAGTCACCATGCACTGGTATTCACCACAGTCCCCAACGTCCATTGTATCAAATTTCTGTTAGGTAGAGGGTTCAAATTTGTGTTCACTAGTAAGTTTTCAAGCGACACCATCGAATCCTTGTTTAGGACACTTCGACGCAGTGCTGGCTTCAATGATATGCTTGATGTCAGAAGCGCTCTTTCGGGCCTTGAGAAGATGCTGAAGACGGGCATCGTTGCGATTTCCCACACAACCAATGTGCTGAGCTCAGCTTCGTTCGCTTTCTCGGGGAGCATTATTAGGAGCGACGAGTCAAGCAGCACATCAACAACAACCGCGGTCGCAGTAGTTAACTTGGCGCAGCACCTACTGCAGGAACTCTGGCCTTCAACGAAGCCGTTTAGACCCACGCCACATAAAGCAGCAGTTTCTCTCATCGCAGGATACATATCTCGCGTCTTGAGTGAAAAGACTGATTGTGAGCGCTGCGTGTCGTTAGTCTTGAAGGCAAAAAGGAAGCAGACCACTGCTACGTGCGGCATGACTTCCCACCAGGACAGAAGTGGCTTGTGCTACCCCACTGCGAAGCTTGTGCGTGTGCTGCATCCCCTGAAAAGATTTGTGGATTTGATGATTCTGCACCGCGCAGCTCTCCTTAAGCCTCTACAGACGTGCTTCGTGAAGAGTGTGGATGTAATTGTTGGCCTGCCAGTACTGCTATGTGACCGTTGTGACCCAATCCAAAGGCGCAAATTGATAGAACTTGTGTGCAGAAAGTTTATGAAGCCGCTATTTACAAACTATGCTGTTGGCTTCACCGATAAAAAAATCTGTGGGCAGGCTTTATCAAAGAAAGCCATTGTCACTGAAGTTTTTGAAGCTTTAAGAAGCTTGCACGACACGCGTGCACCTTCAACGTTGGACTGACAAGTGGTTTCAGTTCAACCGGTTGTTTCTTAACTAGTACTGACTCATTTCTTTTTATTTTTGTCTTTTGTGCATATAAAATTGCTATGTCTTGTTTCATTACTTCAATTTGTGAATCCTACTGATATTTCGATCAGGATCGATATTCGGCAGAGCACTCCTTCGTGCGCTTGCAAACAAAGAATAAGACACCTTACAATGCGTTTTTTGTAATACGTTACCGAAACAAATGCAGGAATACAAAATTACTGAATACAAAGGAAAGTAATCGCATAAAATTGGAAAAAGCCAGTGGCTGTGCCGCATCCACTCATAGCAGTCAAGCAAAGAAAGGCCACGCGAGAGGGTAATAACCTGACGCCACCACACGGCCACTCGGAGAAATAGAGTGCCAATCTTAAAGCAATGGGAACGGGTGCGACGCAACAGGCACAGAAAAAATAGAGGAGGTGCTGGCTTAGCCAATGTTCATATACCATAGTGACTCTTTTCAACTCGTGACCACTGGTGATCTCTAAGGGGAGTTTTTGACACTGATAATGTGCCCCACCATGTCCTTTGCAGGAGCTGGTAGACAGGTTAGCAGCCATGCTCAACTCCAATCTAGGACAGCTATGTGGGCCACGCTGCAAGGACCTAAAGGTGGCACAACCCGAGAAGTACGGCTGGGAACCTCGGCGGCTGCTGGACCAGCTGACGGATGTGTACTTGCACTTGGACTTCCCAGCCTTCCTGTCAGCCGTAGCACGGGACGAGCGTTCTTATCGGCCGCAGCTGTTTGCAGATGCGGCTGCCCGGATGCGACGAGCCTGTGTCAAGCCGCAACCGCGGCTCGAGCAGTTTGAGCAGCTGGTGTCCCGCATTGCAGTTGCGGCGGAACAGGCGCGCCGTCATGCTGACTACGCAGATGCACCCGATGAGTTCCGTGACCCTCTCATGGACACGCTTATGGAGGAGCCCGTAGTGCTGCCAAGTGGACATGTGGTGGACAAGGCGACAATTGTGCGCCACCTGCTCAACTCTAACACTGACCCATTTAACCGGCAACCCCTCACAGAGGAAATGCTGCGGCCAGGTGTGTGCCTCACTGGTTCTTTTGTTGCAACATTGCAGCTTTTAATCTCTGCATCTGCACTTTCTTTATCTTTGCACTTGAAGCATTGACAAACCGTATATGGCCCTCTATGACAAGCAATTAGCTTGTCTGCACCAGCTTGGGCGGCAACTTATCACAACCATGTACAGCAAAATTTCACTGATGCAATCAAGGCTTGTGCACACTACGGGGTAGTACTAATTTTTCTGTTGTGCCAGCCGGTTGTTGAGAAGTGCTCTTCTGCCCGTAACATTTGATATGAACACTGCTCTACAGATGGCAAAAGGGGCTGCCTGTGTAGCCTTGTGGCACAAGAAACTTGAGCGTGGGCTTAGTGTGGGCATGCGTGCTGCACTGCTGGTTTGGCTGGTTGCCAGCATGGGCCACAACTGCATGGCGTAACCTCCAATATGGTGCGTGTGATCCTTGGAAGCCCTAATAGAGTTAAACCTGCTTATAACAAACCGTCATATAATGAATTCCTCGATATAACGAAGTTTTTCCATTCCCCGCCGTTGCTCCATAGAAGCGCATGTATTTGTGACCTCTATGTAATGAAGTAACAGTGGGAGACAACTTTGATATAACGAATTTCTTCCACGGACAATCTAAGAATTTTGCCTCTGATTTGGGCATTTTGGTACGAGCATGCATTTTTCGCGGGTGCCTCGTTGCCGACAAAGCGCGAAGTGGTAGCAGCGCGCACGGTGCACTAGGCGAGAGCGAGTGAGCACGAGGCGGGCAGAGGAGCCGGCGTTGCCGCTGTGGTATCTGTAGTATTTGTGTCTGTGTCCATGTTGTTCACTCTTTGTTTTCGACGTCATGCGGATGTTCATGATTTCACTGTGTGCGCATGATATGGCCCTGGACAAGGTTCAGCTTTCGCTTTTTTTTAGGGGGCGTAGCTCCTTATAGCGTAGGTCTGTCCATCCCCTGTATGTATGTATGTATGTATGTATGTATGTATGTATGTATGTACGTACGTACGTACGTACGTACATACGTAGTCACTGGCGGCACATAACTGCTCTAGAGTGGGTATGGGAGATGGCGGTACTTGGAGTGTTCACTAGATGGTCGCATGAACGGACAGACTAGCAGACGGACGGACGGATATATCTGCAGACGTACGGCCACACAAACAGACGGCTCTCATGGATGGACGCATGGATTGACGCACGGATGGTCACGCAGACGGACGAAAGCAGGGACAGGCTGACAGACGCTTCGCCTCACTCATTATCATTCACTCCATGAATTTGCTGTGATTTTGGTTTTGCATTTGCTTTTTTTTAGTGCGGACAGCAGTGTTGACACCATCGAGGGAATTTCAGATTAGGCACTGATGGAAACTCTCCAAAACCATGGTGATGACGGATCTTCAAAGGTCAACTTGTCACGCACTTCGGTCTTGCACCGCACTGCAAGCTCACAGGCTCGTAGCTTTTGCAATTAGCCGATTAGTTCTGTAAATAACATGACAGCGTGTAGACTGCAATACAGTGAATGGGATAGCGAAAAATTGTAATGGTATACAAAGTAAGCCTGCAAGACAACTCTTTTAGATCCGATATCGTAGAACTCCTACTGAACGCTGGTGTGAGCAAATACGTACGGCCACTCCAGGAAGAAGTGCTTTTTTGACACAGTCCCTTCGCGTTGAAAGCACACTGATACTTAACGAGATAGCACGCATGGCAGTGATTGCCCTTAACGTCAAAGTTCATTGTTGCTACTCGAGACCCCCCCCCCCACGTTTTTTCATGCTTGTTCAAAACGGGTTGTTTCCTGTCTGTTTGTGAGCATTGGACTGATATTCTAACACGCCAGGGATGTTATCTGATGCGCCCTCTAGGCGATAAAGACGGGCCCGCTCATTTCATTTCTGCTTCTTCACAGCTCGTGTGGTTCTACCCGCTCTGACGTTAAACCCTCATATCAATCAAGCTTCTACCCGCTCGTAAACGTTACGGCACGCAGGGGCATGTTATCAATTTAGGTTTGTTTGGAACATGGCAGCGACGGCAACAACCCGCCAAGAGTGTAACTACAAATGCTACAGCAATTTTTTTACCGCTAGATATGTGTTTTACCGCTAGATATGACAGGTAGATTGCCACTATCCCTCAAGAGGAAGGTATATAACAGCTGTATCTTGCCGGTACTTAGCTACGGAGCAGAAACCTGGAGACTTACAAAGAGGGTTCAGCTTAAATTGAGGACGACGCAGCGAGCAATGGAAAGAAAAATGGTAGGTGTAACCTTAAGAGACAAGAAGAGAGCAGAGTGGATTAGGGGACAAACGGGGGTTAAGGATATCATAGTTGAAATAATGAAGAGGAAATGGACATGGGCCGGGCATGTAGCGCGTAGACAGGATAACCGCTGGTCATTAAGGGTAACTAACTGGATTCCCAGAGAAGGGAAGCGGGTTAGGGGGAGACAGAAGGTTAGGTGGGCAGACGAGATTAAGAAGTTTGCGGGTATAAATTGGCAGTAGCAAGCACAGGACCGGGTTAACTGGCGGAACATGGGAGAGGCCTTTGTCCTGCAGTGGACGTAGTCAGGCTGATAATGATGATGATGAATGATGTGTTTTGGCCTAACTCTGCCTTCAGTCCCTTTTTCGTTATACAGTCGCCGACCGTTTATTCGGACGCCGAAAATTCGAACATGCCCGTTTATTCGGACATCTTCATGGCACCGCCACACTCCCCATTGATCCTAATGTAAACTCACAACCGAAAATTCGGACACACCACTGTGCGCCATTTGGTTATTCGGACTCCGTTTGACTGACCGGATGCGTCGCCGTACGCCATTACACGCTGAGAGCGACGTTAAAAATATGTTCGCTAGGTTGCCAGCACTGATATGCTGCACTAGCTATGGATGGATGTCTGGCCAGTGTCAAAATGCACGCAGGAATCGCCATTGCCGATCTCGAAGGCTATGTTTGGCGACGCTTTTTTTTTAGCTAGTCGAGGGGCCAAGCTAAGCTACCTACAGAGTCTGTTCGCTGTGGCGTTTGTCAGCAGTGTCAGTCAGCTGCTTTTGCGGCTAGGCCTGATTCGTCTTGTTGTCTGCGTTCGTCTCGGTCTCTTGCGTGTTCCGTGGCGTGCTGAAATGGCTATAACGCCACCCATTGCTGCGCCGTCGGGAGTGAAGAAACGCGGCCAACGTGGGAACTACAAGATGCTCACGATGACGAAGAAAGCGGATATAATTCGCCAGGTAGAAGGCGGCCTACCTCAGTCTGAAGTCTGAATTTTCTATTTCCAAGCAAACCGTCTCGGAAGCGTGCGTGCAGACATGACAGTTCTTCGGATAGGGTTTATAAAAGTGTTTTTTTTCGAGTGAATTCGTTTTTTCGGACTCCCGATTATCTGGATGTTTTGGTGGTTCCCGTCGAGTCCGAATAAACGGTCGGAGACTGTATACGTGCATTTATTTTCCGCATTTTCGTACCGAACCTGCATATAACGAAATCCCCTATATAACATTTTTTTTATTCAGGAGTTTATCAATTTCCTTATATCCAGGTTTAACTGTACTCCCTTGAGTGCTTTAGATTTTAAACTATAGATTGCACTGGCATCACTTTTTCTTTAAGGTCACATCGTTACTTTTTCTGCTTACACCTGCTTGCCTCATCGAAGCAAGCCATGCCTCGCACTTACACATCTCGCAAATAGCAGACAAGTTTCCAAAAAGGAAGTGACAGACTTGGCGAAGGAGCCAGTGGGCCTCACAACTTTTAATATGCATGATTGTGGGGGCACACATACCTGCCAACTAAACCTATTTGACTAGACGACTCTTTTATTAAGAATGTCTATGAACTATAGGTGGCATGCTTTAGGATTCAAGATGGTGCCCGGAGGTGGGTCAACAAATCTGTTGGCATAGGAACAGATAGGACGTGCAGACATTAACACCGTGTCACTTCCACCGGATAAAGTCATAAGCTGCACCTAATGTATATGAGACCAAGATACTTTCCGAAACAATGGAAGCTCGCCACATGATTATTGTATTTACTCACGCGATGAACGCACTTTTTTTCTCAAAAAATTGGAGCAAAGTTGGGGGGTGCATTTATTACGCGGGTAAATTTTATGAAAACTTTTTCGAAAGAAGGAAAATATTCGCTAGTGAAAAAACAAGTTAGGTCACTTAGCCTTTTACAATTTACATACGCATACACTGTTTGGAAACAGCTTCTTTGTTGCACTTTACTCATTTTCAGTGGTTGATGGCGCTATATCTTCTGCTAGATGTCCCCTGGCCGCCGCGCATGCCATAAAAACGCTTTGCTTTTGCGCTTATATTTTCTCGCAATCGTTGCGCAATCGTTTAACGGCAACAGTGGTATATGCTTGTGATCTCGAGGGGCGCCCAAAACGTGCACTCTTGGGGAAATGGGAAATCGAGGGAGGGACAGATGGAGTGAAGAAAAAAGAAAGTACACTAAAGGGGGGGGGGGGGGGGGGGTCACAGGAAGGGACAGAAGGCATGGGCAGTTTGGTGACCTTCTGCTGGCTGTCTGCTTATCAGCTGAGATGTCTCTACACTGGCACTGCTTGTGAACCCTGCTGTGGCTGCTGTGGGGCATGTGGCGCACAGATAAGGGGGAGGTGCTGTGTACAAGAAAGATAAGCAATACTGCATGAGTCAATGAGCGAAGAGGGGGAGGGAGCGAGCCAAGGTGGTTAAGGGGGGGTTGGCAAAGCAATCAAAAACAGAAGAGATCCAATGGGTGAGGATGCACCTGGTGTCGGTTGGCAGGACTGCAGGGGATCAATGCAGGGGGTGCGTTTATTACGCAGAAAAAAAAAAGATCCAAATTTTAAGACTGAAGTGGTGAATGGGTTTATTATGCGAGTGCGTTCATTACGCGAGTAAATGCGGTATTTGCTATATTGGGGTGAAAAGTTATATTTCAGCTCCATCACAGTGCACGAACGACTCTGCGAGAT